AGTCTACGCGTTTTCTCCAACTCGCAAGGATTTTCCCTTTGACTCGTCGCGTACTCCCCCGACTCGACGAGTTCCCCCTGGGCATGAATCACGGGGCCACCGCGACTCAACTCGCCAAGTCGCAAGGACAACTCGGCGAGTCCCAACTTGAGTCGGTCCACCTGTCAAAACCTTTCTAACTCTCTGCGACTCACTGAGTCACCCACAACTCGGCAGGAGTACACACTGGGTGGTCTCAAGGACAATCTTCAAGCGACTCGTCGAGTCTATTCTTCAGACTCGGCGAGTCCATGCCATGCATCAGCTAAAACTGGATTGTGCGGTCAGATCCGTTCCATACACACATAGATCTGGCCTTCCCAAGCTTATTTATCACGTAAAGTCTCAGTCTTGGTCGCCATGCAACGCATACAAGGCTCATTTTGGAGAAATAACCTCTAATATGGCAACCCTAGCTTCTAACTCAAAAGAATGGACATAAAGCTTGTCATATGAGGCCTCCTGGACCTGCTAAGGTCCAGCTCTAGGTTCCATATCTCCATGGGACCTTTCATACTTCCAATTTAAGCCAAATAAGGCAAGAAGAAACCCTAGATTTGACACATCAACCCAAAATACGAAGTTTAGCTCTGAAAGTTACCTCAAGAAGGTTCCCTTGATGAAATAGAAGCAGATCCAAGCTCCCCAACTCTTCAAGCTTGATCTTCTCCCTCCTTTCTTGCAATAATACAAAAATGATGAACAAATGCCCTCTTATCACACTCACAAGGTCTCACAGTTGTATGGGTGCACATAGGGTTCAAGGTGTCCGCAAATGAAGGCCATAAGGTCCTTTAAATAGGGCTTAGGACCGGGGAATTAGGGTTTCATTAAACAGCACGGACTCGCCGAGTCCATCCCTTGGACTCGCCGAGTCCGGACGCGAACCTCCGTCCAAAACCGCGACCCGACTCGGCGAGTTCGACCTCCAACTTGCCGATTCCCCTCACAGAATATCAAAAATATGAAAGTAAAGATACCTGGGGATCCGGGCTGTTACATCCTATTCATCCAATCATAATTTAATTCAACTTCTAAAGTAGTGTATTCTTATTTTGTAGCAGATTGTGTCATTATATTTTGCTTGGACCTCATTCTAACAAAACTTACCCTTCATTTTATAATTAAGTCCAAATCAAATTATAGTTAAAAATTATTTATATTTGTTAGAAATGAACATCTTGTGTAGCTCCTTCCATGAAGATCCTTTCTAAACAGATTGTCTCATATACATTCTCTTATTTCTTCTAAAGTACTCTTAGAAGGCTCTCTCAGTCATCTAGTGACATAACCATGTATTCAATTAGTATCCTATGACATGATTACAGCATGATCAAATACGACATCCTATGCGTAATATGGAATAAATGATGAATTCATTTTCCAAGCAAATAGAATATAAATCATTTCATCTAGTTCAAGCCTATGAGCTATGTACTTTTGAGGCTAGCTCAAAATGGTGCCATATAACAATGCCAAGAATTCTCCAAAAGAATCTTGTTTCTTGATCCCTTTCAAGATATTACCAATATATGTATATGGACATGAAACTTTTAACATTCATTTTATTTATCCCTTATATATTTTACATTCCAAGAATGTATCTTCTCCTTCCTAAGTCTTTCATTTTAAAAACACTTTACGAGTGAAGGTGAAAACGACCTTGCTTAGTCAGAATTTGATTTCAAATGATGAAGTATATCTTATTCATACAAGATAAGGAATTTCACTATGCTCCCACTAGTTCTTAGTAAACATACATGTTTTATTAATTCTAATATGAAAACACACCTTCTGGTTTTACATAAAACAATGATTATAACATTGAGATGTTTTCTATATATCCGTAAGTGGACCTCAAGCTCTACACATTTTGTTACTATAGCATGGATTAAAAAAAAACCTCCAGGCTAATCTATATATATATATATATATATATATATATATATATATATATATATATATATATATCTTTTAGTAGATGTCTATCAAGAAAAGTTCTCTTTCATAAAATCTATTTGCTATATCTCATATTAAGAATATGAATATGTAGTAAATAATATACTTGTTGATCTAATCACAGCTACTTGTGAAAAAGGTTTGATCATAGTCAATGTCATGAGTATGATGAGGACCATAGTTAATGACATGAGTATGAGAGAATCCCTTTACTACAAGCCTTGCTTTAAATGTGTGTGGTTATCCTTGTATCTTTATTCTTTTAAGAAGAATCATTTTCTCCTTTTAGCCTTGCTATAGGGACAAAAATTTTAATCAAGCCCATACTTGATTCTCAAACATGGATTACATCTTATGTTGATTACTCTAAGTCATTTATCAAATTCGAGATCTAATATAACATCTTGGTATTTTATGGATTTTCGAGAAACCATCAATAAAATCTTATCAATGAGGGATTCCACATTTCTCAAGTCATAGATGAATTCTACCATTAATGTGAACAATTTTTGTTTGTGAATAGCTATTAATTAATTTTAGCAATCATTGTTAAAACTAGTGCCAACTATTACTTGTTAAAGTTACGGTTCTTGAGCTCTTTCAAGTTCCATCTACCTCCTACTTGTTTTGTCATTAGAAGCTTGATTTCTACTAACTTAACTTTCACAAGAATAATATAACCTATTCTTCGTGGGTTTGCATATAATAATCTAAGCCACATTTAGTGTATTATAAAAATATGTATTTAGTAGATTTTTGGTTGAGAAGCTTTAGTCCAACACCGACCTCAAATCCATAAAACATATAGTAAGATGAGGATGGATCATGTCCATATTAAATCTTATAAAGTGTTTAATCTACTTATTAGTTGGTATTTGTATTCAAGATACAATTAATAGTGATTGAAGTATTATGCTAAAAAGATTAAAGGAAGATATTCCTATCGATTAGAAAGTAAATCATACCAAGTAAGATTTAATTCTTCCTTTATTATCATTAAGGCCTTAGATGGTTCTTACCAGTTTGTATTTTAACTTTTGAAATATTCAACAAAGATTTCACAATCATGCTTTATCATGTAAAGTATAATTAAAACTACTATAGTTGTTAATAAATTTGACTTGGTATCTTATGCTTAATCTCATACATTCATTAGAAAGGAAGTCATATACCAAAGTGTATAGTTCCTTAATTATTTTCTCTACACTTACTATAATTAGGAATCCTTTACATATAAATAAGGTTTACATATGTCAAATAAACTATATTATTTGCCTCAGATCCCTTTCTTGAATCTGGAATATGGAATGAAATTTATATAATCAAGATAACAATGTCAAAGATGAGTTTGGTTGAAAACAAGTTTAAGTCAAAAATTGATTGCATATAGAACTTTGTTTTATTTATAAAAATATTGATATTTACTTTATAATTCTGTTATGAGATATAGTCTTATAAATAGAAGTTAACAATTTCAGAATATGAATATTATCGTTATGAAAAACGATTGAGTAAGTTATCAAACATTTGAAGACATGCTAAATTAAAACATACATTTTTCCAAAACAAATATTGTTTTAAATTACAATTAATTTACGTTCTAAGCATAAATAATAAATTAAACTCGGAGCGCATCGTTCCAACTTGATTGTGCTCAGTTGCGTTATTCTTCAATAAATATATGCAAGCTATTTACAAATATTAGATTAGCATTTAAGTACCGAGTACCTAAGTATTATATGAAAAGTATGATTTTTATCTAGTATATACAACAAGTACTAGTCTCTTCGAGACTTTCTTTACAAATAAAAGGAGTAGATCCTTTTCCAGTGTCCAGTTTCTTCACAAAAGAAACAAGATCTATCTGTGAGGGCTTTAGGAGATTTCTTGGGCTTAAAGGTGTTCAATCCATAAAACATGGGCCTTTTGGATCACAGAAGGTCACTACAAGAAAAAGAGCCTTTAACGACGCGCAAACCACGACACTCGGTGATTTATGTTACGCAAAAGGGAGTGATATTAAAAAAGTGTCATCTCTTCAAAAAATTTAAGGATTTATGTCACGCATTATTGCGTGCCCTTAGATTGTGTCTCATGTAAAAATAATAAAAACACGGAGGGCACTTTATCTAAAATGTGCGCCCTCTGTGAATGTTGCTTTATGTTTTACTCAAAACGCGCGTTCTTGAAAGGGGGAAATGAAATCTCCAAAAACTAAAACACCGCCTATTCCATGTGAAAAATTAAAACCCGCTCCTCTTCGTCTTCCTCTCTCTCTCTCTCTCTCTAACCTAAAAAGCCAACCTGTGATTTAATAGAGATTGTTATTTAGATTTAAGAAGAAAAGAAGAAGACAAACAAGGATAATACTACTAAATTCCACAAAATCGCAGGGACTAGGGCTTTTTTTCAAGAACGGAAACACTTGGTGCTCTCTGGCCTCTGCAACAATCGATCGATGATCTCGCCTCACCTCGTCGGCAACATCTTTGCTCACTTCTCCTTCAACGACCTTAGGGGTATTTTCCTCTGGCGACCTCGGGCTCATGTGACCTCGTCAGAGACTGCTCAAATTTCCACACCCTAGCCCGACTAAGATATGCTATGTTTATTCTCTCTTCCTAATGTTTTTGTTCTTCTATTTATTTAATCTCTCCACTATTCATAGCTTTGATTTCGATTGTGGATCTTCTCATCTTCTCCTGTGAAAACCCTAACTTAAAAACTATGCAGGTTTCAATGGCGATTTCCTTATGATTCCACATTCCTCACTTCTACTCTCTAAGCATCTCAGGTATGCTTTGTTCCTTCTCCCTTATTTTAATTCTTCTAGTTTGATTTCTTAGGTGCGTTAGGGTTCGGATGTTTCACCTTTTCCTAAACCAAAATTCCATTTATTCAAGATACAATCTTCTGTGCTAAATTATATTAATTCAATGACATATGTCGGTTAGGTTTTCACAAGGTGAAATTTTAGGAATCGAAGATGGGTAGGTACAGTGATGGCGAAGATGAATTTTTTGACGCCCGTGAGGTGTTTGCTTCAATGTCTGACACATGCTTCGATTGCTCCCCAGAAGATTGTATTGGCTCGTGATGAACATGAAGTTCAGCAGGTTATTATATCTGAATTAAATGATGGCGTATGATTATAATCCTGAATCTGAGTGTGTTTGTTGCAACCTTCGCATTTAATGATTAGTTAAAACCATGTTGAAATTTGACTATTTGAGCAACATTTGGAGTAAATATTAGGTTTAAACTCCAGCGTATTGAGTGTAAATTAGGAGAAATTGAGAGGCAAATTTGGGTTTCTATGTTTGATAGCTGATAACATATCTTACATCAAAACTAGGTCCACTAATTCAATGTTTCAGGTTTTGTTTTCAACTTCTAGAAAAATGACTTTTAGACATTTTGTCTTGCATTGCTAACGTGTTCCAAACTTCATAATATTAATTAGTGTTCATGATTGTTCGTAATAGTTTGATGTTGATTTTTGATAGTCTTTCTTCTCCATCTTCTTTCATAAACTGCGACTCTTAGGAATTAAACTTTTATTTGGTTTCATATAGGTCTACAAGAGAGGAACAGTTGGAAGATCCAACTATAGAAGCTTTACACATTTGTTGTTTTCTTAAAAATATTGTCAAGTGTCAGTAGCTTGTACCTCCTACTTTGTGTTTTCTTTGTTTTCAAATGTTTTGTTAGCTTCACTTTCTTATTCCGTTACACCTTTAATGTTGGTAGTTAGTGAACAAGGGTGTTTTAGTAATTTGGTATGTATTATATTAGTTGGTTAGTTGGTTCCCACTTAATATTATTTAATATATATATATATATATATATATATATATATATATATATATATATATATATATATATATATTAGATAGTTCTTGTGGGGTTGTGCACTGCAGTGGGTTCAATGTGACAGGTGTGAAGCCTGGCAGCATCAAATATGTGCGCTATTTAATGGTTGAAGAAATGATGGGGGCAGAAGATTATATTTGTAAAAATTGTTATATGGAAGAAGTTGAAAGAAGAGAGCGGATGCCTCTACCACAGAGTTTTGTACTTGGAGCAAAAGATTTACCTTGAACCATACTCAGTGATCACATAGAGAGCAGGTTGTTTTTAAAGCTGAAGTAGGAGAGACTAGAGCGTGCAAGGTTCTATGGGAAAACTTACGATGAGGTGATGTTATAACCCCCCACCCCCCACCCCCCAAAAAAAAATACAAGACAACTCCATACCATACATTGTGAATGAACAGTAAAGTATGCATCTTATATTTTCTTTATTATCAGGTTCCTGGAGCAGAAGCACTTGTTGTCAGAGTGGTCTCTTCTGTGGACAACAAGTTGGAAGTCAAGCAACGATTTCTTGAGATCTTTCAAGAGGAAAATTACCATGTGGAGTTTGGGTATAAGTCTAAGGTATTTCAAACGTAATACTTTTGTTGATTTGTTTATTATAGCATCTTTCCCTACATTTCTTCCTATTACAATATTATACTTTTTTTTATTTTTTTTTGCCCTCAAAAACAAACCCGTCTTGAAATTTATCGTTTAAGATGATCTTAGGGCGTGTTTGGTTCATGGATTCCAACGGAATCTAAAGGAATTGGATCTTGAATTCCATTACTGGAAATGGGTGCTAAGAATTGAATTCCATACTTTTTTTTCATTAAATGACTAAATTGTCCTCACAAACACATCTTTTTCTACTTTCTGGTTTCTTGAATAAGTTTACAAACCAATCTGAATTCCATTCTGGTACATGTTGGGTTTATGGATTCCAATTGAATCCAAAGGAATTGGTATCCCGGGTTCCATCACGGGATGTGTTCAGTTGTGGTTGCTCATATAGCTTTTTATTTCATTTATTACCCAAACATGGGAACACTTCTTGGTGTATGTACTAATATTGTTATATTATTAATTTATTACTACAAAATGTTTTGTAAAAAAAAATTAATTGATTCAAAAAAATTGTCAATTTTCAGGTTATAGCAACCGATGCTCGTGTAGATACTGACATCTAGCGAAAGATGGTACATGTTGCTGTGAAGGGGCAACTACAGGCTTATTATAATTGGGCTATTGCCATATCTGATAGAGCCAAACTCCATGGACGTACAAAGGAAGCTGAAGAACTATGGAAACAAGCAACAAAGAATTATGAAATAGCTGTCAAACTAAACTGGAACAGTCGATAGGTAACTTTAAAAAAAAAAAAGAGAAGTAGCTCTATTTCATTTGTAAATTCCCTACTTCTTCTTTATGACTTTGTGATGAAATTAAATTCAGGCTCTTAACAACTGGGGACTTGCTTTACAGGTGCTTCATTTAAAACTTTCGAATATAATTCTAAACAATAAGTTATTCTTAAAAACTAATCTATTACTTTACAAAAATAAACAAGAAAACTAATCTATTTAATTTATTATATACCATATGAATAAATAAATTATCTCAACTATTTTTATAAAACAATCAACACAAAAAATAACAAACACAATGGTCATTGGCTAGTTTATGCACATCATGTACATCAACATACACATAAAACAACCTTTATTTTTCTAAGACAACTTTAAATGTCAAAAGATGCATGAAACTTTTGTCACATAAAATAATATATATAAAGTTGTCATAGAAAACATGTATGAACTTATTTTTATACAAAAAACAAGTTATCCATATTCTCCAAAAAATAAGATTTCCAAAAATACAAAATATAACCAAACATGCAAGGTGGCTCTCATACCAATTGTTGGGTTTTAGTTCAAAAATAGTTTTATAAACTAAAAAAATATGGCAACATAAGACTTAATAATTTTCAAATAACATAAACATTTTATACCCAACAAGGATCTTCTTGCAAGTTATAGAAAGATTAATATACCAACCAAAGAAGGGGTGAAGAAATAACAGATTTTGTAGTTCTTTGGGTCCTCTTGGGAGGCTTGGAAATTGAAGAAGAATGTGGAACATTTGAGACACCAACAATGACTCAACTTGATGTAGATGCTAGTCCATAAACTCTTAGAACCTTAAGCTTTAAGTTCAAAACCAATATGAACTTAATGAAGGAATGATGATGCAAGTATTCTTGAAGAATAGAAGAAGAAAAAGGAGAGAGTAACCTACTCTAAGGAGGTTACGGTTTCTAAGAGGGAGCAATTGAGGAAGCCTTTCAAGAATGCAAGCCTCATATTTATATGCATAAAGTGAAAGTATTAACTATTAGGTCTTAACACTTTAAGCACATATGTCCCCATGTCATAAGCATGTCTCCCGTGCTTCATTGCTTTTGAATAAACTAATGGACATCCCATGACTCTTTTCTTTTCCTCTATTTTGCAGAATTACACACACATATATATATATATATATATACATATATATACATATATATATATATATATATATATATATATAAGAGTTTAAATTTTATAAAATATAAACTTTTTCTTTTGAGTAAAAGACAAAAGGGTTTGAGTTAGTCCAAAAAGTCGTACACAACTGATTAATTCATACCATATGAATTATGTAATATTACTTTCTAATGAAAATAATTATTTCCATGAAATAAATAATTTTCAATTTAATTATAAGAGTTTATTGAATAGTTATAAAAAATCAATTTCTAATAAATAATTAATAATATCAAGTTGTTGATAGTGAGACTCATTAGTATCATATGTTAATTAGCAATATCGCTTTAATATAACTCTTGAGTACACTCGACCTTTCATAGGAAACAATTGATTTTAGCAACCCTATAGATGTTTTGAAGTTTTTGAAAGAATGTAACGACCCAATTTTCAAATAAAATTTTTTATTTTAAATAATCAAAAAATTTACAATAAACCACAAAATCTTAAGAACAATTGTATTCAAATTATTAAAATCCACAATTTTTATTTCAAATATCAGAGTGTCCCATAAAAATGCCTGAGAGAGTGCATGCCATGCCATCAAGCCTTGCCCTTTCCCTTAAGATCAGAAGTATCTAAAACAAATCAACAAACTGTAAGCTAATGCTTAGTGGGTTCCCGAGATCATACCCCACACAATCCACATAATCAAATAATCTACATTAGCTATAAAAGCTACATAACCACAAAATTCATGCATATAAACATATAGGGATGTCATGGAAACCATCCAAGGTCTTACATGTAGTGCCACCAAAAACCCCTATGTGGTCTTTGCTAGCCGCCACAGAACCCCACGTGGTCTTCGCTCATTGTCGGGGAACCTCCACATGGTCTATCCTAATCATATAAATATTATACGAAATAAACATGTAAACATACTAGGAAGCCGTGGAAACCCTCCAAGGACTTATACCAAATCCCATAGGAACGTCCTCATAGTCTTAATATATTTCCACGGGAACCCCTCGAGGACTTCCATAAAAGTATCATAGTGATATATCACTTAATCAAATATCTATCCATATACTTATATAGTGAAATGGGTCAGCCGTGGTGCCTTGGACCCCTTGGTGTAACTGTTGGATTAATGTCTAAGTCCATAACTATAATTGGTAAGACTTGACCCGACCCGGCATGGTCCATTTGGGTTGCATGGCATCATGCACTTGGATAGACTATAATGAGAGAAATAAGACACTTATGGTTATTAATATATTATAATTTATAGTATATTAATAATAAGAATAATGATATTATTTAATTAGTATTGATCAAGAATTAATCTAGGATTAATTAAGTCATCAAAAGAAGACTAATTAAATATATGGGTTGATTGTGTAAATCATCCATACTTGTATAATGGGCTAATGCTCCATGGATAATCAATTTGGGCTAAAACCCATAGGATGGTCCATGGATGTTCCATGGTGTATTTGAACCCATGGATCCAAGGAAATGGAAAGTCATGACAATTAGGATTTACCCTAATTGTAACACTATATAAACATCTTATTCTTGATCAAAATCGGCCACTAGTGAGAGTCAGAAAGGGCTAGCCGATTTCATGAAGTGTAGAATTCTCTCAAGTTATTCCAAGTGTATTTGGTGTTGTGTGAACCATTTGAGGTGTCACACTTGGGGAACTAGGCACTCAAGCTTCATGAAGACATTCTACATCAAAGAGGTATGTATTCTATCTTGTTATATTGATAGTTTTGTATGCTAGATTAGGATAATACCTCGGATGTTTATATTTGCATGTATAATAGAGAAATCATAGATCCAAGGTATTTAGGGTTGCATGTACACTTAGGAGTGTTATAATGCTCATCACCCAACAGTAGTATAAGAGCCTAGGCTTGTTTTCGTGTTATACCTGCAATAGAAGCTGAAAAAACAAATTTGTTGATGTCTGATCATCAGACTCGGTGAGTCCATCAGGAGACTCGGCGAGTCCATGCCTAAAATGTGATCAATTCAATCCAACTCGCTGAGTTGGTTCATGCACTCGACGAGTTGGATCCCCAGACAACATATTTTCGAGGTTTTTGGCTAGAAATGGACTAGGAACATTACCCTAAGTTGTTTTTGAACATATAAACTTGTTTTTTAATGTGGTAATGTTCATGCTAATCCATTTTCAAAGATAATTGTCAATAGATTCATGTTTTGTATTAGTTTAAGGTTTAGACTAATTACATGAAAAAGTTTGATTTGAATTATCTTGTTCTTATGAGTTGCTTAGATTAATAGAAAAGTTAATTGAAATAGTTGCTTTCAATCCATTTTAATCTAAGAGTTGAAGAGTCACATTTAAGACTCATAAAACGCATAAAAGTTGGTAATGGTTACAAAATGAAGAGTCTTGTGTCATTGAATATTTTTTTTATGACTCCATAACTTGTCCTCAAGTTATGGAAGTTCAAGAGTCACTCCATTAAAGAGTAAAAGTGTAACCTTAATTAATTCCATAAGTTATAAAAATAAAGAAAATTTAATTCTTTTATTAGTTTAAAGTCTTCCATAAGTTATGGAACTTGAAGAGTTTTTTTGGATTAAAACTACTTTAAACACATAAGTTATGGAATTAATTAGTTTTGAATAGTTTCAAAACTTGTCCTCAAGTTTTGGAATTTGTAAAGTTTTCTCTTATGAATACTTTAATTCCAAGTTAGCCCTTAGAATTTCAAAAGTTAAAATTCAACCCTTATACTTTATAATATTATAAGTTAATAATATATACATGTATAAGAGTAAAGTCGGTCTTACCTCTAGTACGCCTCATTCACGAAGCCGGTCTATAAGGTGGGTATAAGGTTGTTGCCTATAAAATGGCAACTTAATGGGTGTCCACTCTCATCCACCGCTTGCTTGACTGGTGGAGGGTCGTTAGCCGAACGGGTTTGACAGGACTATAATTCTCCTTTCATTAAAAGTATTAATGATAAATACTAAGTAACTAAACTCTTAATAATACCCAATCTTAGTTACTTAGGAAAATGTGAATAAGGTGCTAATCCATGAAGTTACACTTTGCACTTTGTTTTAGTCGGTTAGTGGAGCGTGTGTGGTTAACCGGCACACTAACTCGTATTTAACAAGGTAGGAAAAGGGTAACTTAATGTTTATCATAGTATCGATGGAGCGTGTGTGGTTTACCGGCACATCGATTGAAGGGTAAACACTTAAGGGTACCAATTAATTTGAATGGTTACTTCACACCTTGTTTTGTGATCCTCGGCATCCCAGTCACAAAACCTGAAGGGCACACTCGAGATTGAAACATGCCATTGAACAGTTCAATGAATCTCAAAAATTTAGGAGTTTCAAATCCAATTAAAACCTAATAATACATTTCGTTTATCTTGGTGGAAATTGTTGAATCGTCATTCACCTACCTTCAAATTGTTTTATAGCTTGGAATACGGAATACCTCTTCTAAGTTATAAAATAGTTTGTTGGGTCCTAGCCTTAATATTTCATATTAGGTGTTATATTAAGGACTCTAAGATCAACTATCTTGAATATCTCCCGAAAGATGTCTGGTTTAGACATTTATGATCTTCCCAAATCTCTGGAAACAAGCTTTCCTAATGAAGATGATGTCCCATAGAAATCATACTTCTTTCACCTCCTCAAATTATTCTCCCAACCCACAAGTTCAAAGTCACTCAAACCCTATTGGCAAGAAGGTCTAGGTGTGATCACACCTTGGAGATGTAGTCACATATTGACAAGTCGAGAGAGAAGGGTGTCAAAGTCTTGAGAAAGTT